ATCATGGTCTTTTTAACAATGCCAAGGAGAAGTAGAATGCTCTGCAATAAATGATTGAGGCAGCCACAGTTTCTGCAAACAAGGGAATGCAGGAACAGGTATGTCCATACAATCCCAGGGGGTACATCATGAGGGTGACAGAGGGAAGAAGTGGGGACAAACACAACTCACAGAAAAACTTACCACTAGGTTTTAAAATATGGAAGGCTGCTCCTCATGGGTGGAGCAACTGTGGCTGAAGTTCACACTTTGGGGAGATGTCACTCTATTTCTGTGTCATCAAAAATGAGGTTTTGGGGGGCATTCAACATGGGCATGTGTGGCAAAAAACGAGATGGCATCTCCCCTCAACCGCAGTGAACTCCAGCTGCTGCTTCTGCATGATGCCCACTCCTGGATCCAGAGAAAGTACAGGGAAAGGGGTGAGGGGGACTTCCCTGGGCACTATGCCTCTGGGTGTGACAGTCACTTTGTTGCCTTCTTGTGACTGACAGAAGACAACATCTTAGGACAACATCTCTGTTCCACTTGACTTTTTCATTTAAAAATTAAATAGGAAATGGTAAAGGGGTAGAAGGGATACCAAGACAGTTCATGTGACAAATACATGTAACTAAAATTACTCTTTTTAGCTTGTAGTATCTAGATGAACCTTGGCAGTCAAAGATCCATCATGTTTCTGTGAGGAACTTTGTGAGAAATTATGGGTTGTTTTTTTTTAAACCACTCTATGTATTTTTACAAGTAAATTTAAGAGCAGCCAACCTCCATCCACCGGCCACAAATTTTCCAATTTTATTTATAAAGGCCAGCCCACCACACAGAATTGCAGAGGAAAAAGGGCTTTATAGTTTTGCTTTTCAGAATTCCTCATGCAAGGAAGAAGAAAATCTGTGACTTTCAACTAACAGAGTTTTCTGCCCAGTTAATCAAGACCAAAAAACAGGAGTTCTTCTCCCATATCTAATGGATTTTGAGACATCAACAGGAGTCACAAGCCCAAACTCAGCTCTTGACAAAGTCATAGTTCTAGGGCTACCAAACTGTGGCTTTTTCTACAACTCTCCCCTCGATGGAGATGCAAAAACAGAGCAGAGAGAAGAAAGCATCAGTGAGACAAGAAGTCCCTAAACTCACTTGACTAAAACTGTATAGAGCCCTTGCTGATGAGCTTCCGTGGATTAAATGTAAGAATAAAGCATTCCACAGAAATGAAATTCCTCCTTTCATAGGTACAGGCTCCCCTCTATACATGAATGCAGAAAGGCACATGGGGATCTCTGCAGGTTCCATTTACAAATCTACCTCTGTTCAGACTATGACATATTCTGGGGACTCACTTATTTTATACACATTGGGCATTTCTACATGTGTCCCTACGGCACTGTTGTTACTGTGTTACTTCCTTTTGGAAGTACTAAATGATGGCACAGTAACAGCCCTGCCACTACACCATGCTGGAGGCGCATGGTTGCTTTTAGGCCCTACACTGCTGTAGCAACACACTATAATGAGGGAGCACATTGCTATGGTATTGTAGCCAGATGCTACGTCACTGTAGTGTGTTGCTACAGCAATGTAGCATCACGTGTATATGCATCCACTGGGCACATCTACACGTGTGCTTTAATGTGCAGTAGCCCATTAAAGTGGCATGTCAAAAACCAAGCTAAGACATGAATGCACAGTGGAATAGGCTACTGCAAATTAAGCATCACTTAAAAAGCAAGTGCTTTCACTGCTGTGCATTAGCAAAGCCTAATGTGCATTTCTTTAGTACCTCATATTGGAAGTACTAAATTTAATGTGCATTAGTAAAAGCACATTAATGCATGTATAGACACTCCCACTGAATAACATGTTTTATCCTGCAAGGTCTAGTTTGGTTTGGGAAGAAAGAGAGATATAGCAGGCACATGGTTTGGTTAATAACATGTCATAACCACATAATCCTGTATCAAAATGTGGCACAAGTTTCTTCTCCATTCTAATGGGAAACAATTAAGTTAATGTTATCCTCTATTATGGCATAACTCAGTGTTTATTCATATTGCATTACATTTATTATTGGTTGCCCCTCCTGTGTCAGAATCAGATTAAGTTAAATTCAGGATATAAATACAGGTAGCATGGGTTGTGCAGATATATATTACATACACTGCATCAATGAACTGCATCTCCAAATTACTTACAAAGTATTTAATGTATTTAGAACAGTGTTCTATGTACTATCTCTGGTTCTGCCACTGGCTTACGCGTCTTGGAAAGTACACCTGTTGGCAAGTCATAACTTCTCTCTATTTTAACAGTAGTGTCTACAACAATGACAGGCAGTTACCATTTATCATGTTTGGGTTAGCTACCAAACCTTGTAGTAGAGAATTCAGTTTTTAAAACAAAAGGAAAGAAATTCATAATATACATACAACCACATGGCATTTAGCCAAACTGCTCCCAAGAAATTCAACTAGAATTTGTGTAATTAAATCCTTATGTAGCATTCAAAAATACATGTTTCAAAATGTGTGTGTGACTGAGATATTAAAGCTTTATGCATCCTTTTTGTGTGTGTTTATATGTGCAGAGAAACATTCCATCTACCACATTTGCAAATCTTTTAACTGTGGTTTCTTACTTACGTATGTGGATATACATCTGTCAAGTTAACAACCATTTTGGATAAACAAAAAAGATTGATATTGATGTTTGAGCTTTATCACACATACTTCTATGTGTTATTCTTTATACATACTGATATACTGCAAAGGTTAGTAAATTCCCTTTACCCAAATTTACTAGTCACATCTGTAGCTTGAATGTTTCTTTCCATAAGAGGAACCAAGGCCAAGCAAGACAAAGAATTTGCTGATACACACGTCACTCCAAGAATTCTCCTGACAAAGTTCCCACACCCAATTTAATTACTTCCCTACTGTAAAAACACTTTCCATCTGCATTTATTGTAATAGTTTCAAATCCAAAACCAACACACTATAAAGCTAGCTAAATAAATGAATGATATTGGCCTTAGGTCCCAAGCCAGGAGCTGTTCTATAAGGCAATGTCTCCAGCATTCATTTTTATGCTGATGTTTCAATTTATCTGCAATGTTTTCACTTAAGACTTGTTTAGAAAAGAATGATCTTGCTCCAGGCTATAAAATTTTGTGTGCTATAGCAGTGCCCTCTAGCACCAGTCTAATCAAAGGTCTGTCAATGATTCTTTTGTAAGATCACAGTTGCATTGCATGTCAGCTTGTGACATAAAAGCTTGCTTCAGGCTGTGTGCACAGCATTACAAACTCACAGACTAGGACCATTTACTTAAACTATATCTGATTTTAAATACATTTCATTTCTTTAAGCTAAATGGTACAAAATTAAAAAAGCGTTTTTTCCCCTCAACAATTTATTTTTCTTTTCTTTTTTAAAGATCTTTTTATCAGATATATAAATTGAATCATTCACAGTGAAGATTTCTTTTGCACTTGGAAGAAAAAAAATAGATATACTGTATTTAATATAATGAATAACCATAATCAGTTCATCTGTCATCAGAAACCTTATGATGTCACAAGGATAATGAAGCTATCGTGAAGTGAGCTAAGGCTTGTCATAATATCAAGCCGCGATCCAGCAAAGCACATGAGCATGTAACTTCTAAGTGCATGAATACTCTCACACTGAAATTACACAAATGTTCAGGACCCTAATGCCATTGGAAGTACTTATATATTTTTTAAATGGTAACATTTTTTAAATCAAACACGGCAGAGAAGGAGACAAAACTTAAACCATGATTAAATAAGAATTAGATATCCAAAACTGTTCCCACTGAAGTCAATAGAAAAATTACTATTAATTTCAATAGAATCAAGATTGGACAATGAATTCAGCATTAAACCATGTGTGTACAACTCCCAATGATCCCAATGGGAGTTGTAAGTATGCAAATGAAGAACATGAAAAGGAAATCAAAGAACTTCAGATGTACCGTACAGCTCTATTCATAGCCAGTCCACTGTCCTTAAATTTTACTGGTGGCTCCTAAGCAGGAAAACATGTTGCATACATAAAAATGGAGATACTAAGATGTAAGTATGGTGAAAGATGGGGTTTCAGTACTGTTTCTAAATGTCTTAGCTTTGGCGTTCCAATAAGATTATTATGACTTTAGGTTGGTGTGGTTTTTTTCCCCCCTTTTATTATTAAACTCTTTATATCTCTGTGAAACTGAAATATGGATCTTGTAAACATGTAGGACATAATGGCAGGTTATAAAACTGTTTTGCACCATGCAATTTGGACAAAACCATGCCTTGTGGCATAACATTTTGGTAGTGCACGTGCTGGAAGATGCATTTGTAGTATTCATTTTTCACTTGTTCAAATACAGCCAAGAATTAGCTACCTCATTTAACTTAAACTAATTTCCTTCTCTACGTAGACATAAACTTAGGAAACTGTGTTTAGAACATACTTTTTTAAAGAAAGTGTGATACTTTCATAACAAGAACAGCAGCATGTGTTCCACACAAAAAGAAAAAAAAAGGAAAGAAAAACACGGGTAAGACAGCCTTTACCGGAATAAAAACTGAACTGCTAACTTTGAAAGTAAACAGTAATACTAAAAAAATTGCAACAATCAGAGGTGTACAGAAGGATGAGGAAAGAAAAAAGACCTGAATTACAGACTTTTACTACAATATTTATCATTTTTAACTGAGATTTTTCTTCTAAACTGAAGGGGACTATTCAACCTTACGGCAGTCAGAACCGTTTCTACCCCACATTCATCCCCACTCTTAATACTTATCCGTAATTGGAAAATAACAATGCTGCCTCCAGGGTGGAATAGATTTAAAAATAATCTATCCACACTTGTTGACTCTTTGCAAAAATAATCTCTCAAACTCTCTTGCTATGTATCTGTAACCCTACTTCATACAATTACATGCCAACATTCTCTAGTCATTAAGTATCTGCCCTTCGTTACTGTACCTGGAATTCTGAGGCTCTGAAACATCTGATTCTGTGCACGTTTTCTTTACCTGCAAAAGCAAAATGATTGCCAGTTACTCTCATATGAAAACACAACTTCCTCACTCACAGTTCATGCACTTACATCGCTTAAAGTGGATACAGCTCTGCTCACCATGATCTCTATAAAATACTTCCCGCATTTTACAGCAGCAGTATGCAGTACTAAACAGTGTGTTTCATTATTATCCCATGAACAGCTGCCAACTGCACTTCCCTAGACTCCATTAGTATGTAAAATGTTCAGCTAAAATAGCTTGGGAGTAGTCTAACTAGGAACAAAGAAACCAAAGAACCAGGTTCCCCACTTAGAAACTAGAAAGCCATACTGTTCTCAGTTCAGTAAAGAAATGTTTTCCCAATTGATACTGCCTCTGTTTCCTGCTAAAGCTCACAATAATAAACACCAGATTCTGGGGCAAAGTGCAGTGTTAGCTAAATAATTCATACATTAATTTTCATTTTCTGAATCTGGTAACTGTGTTTAATGTATTTTGTAATACATCAATGAACTTCAAATCTCTTAGACACATTTTTCAGACATATCCATAGTACATAATTATATATGCTATACTTCATGCTTCAGATTCCTGTTTGGGATGAAATACTGTTAACTAATTAAAGGACAAGACTTCCTCCCCCAACACACACACACTTTTTACCTAAAAATATAATCTTTTCTAGATCTATATCACTCAGCTCTTCTGGATCTTGTACAAGGATTTAATTTCACTCTATGGTAATTTAAATTTCAGGAACTTTTCTGCAGAGACAGACCTTTTGCTTGCAAGTGTTTGAATGTATAACCTAAGGAATTGGTGGAGATTTCAAAAAGTTTTAAATCCATATATGCATATACAGAAACACTTGAACTTATTTATGCTTAAAGAACACTACCCTTATTACTAAATAAAAGTTACATAACTCATTCAGTTCCTTACATCAAGAGATCTTGTGCTATCAATTCATCCTTTAAAAAATGTCTGTAACAGTGGGAATCTTAAACACCTAACACTCCTAACTTCTAAAAAGTCAATGGAGAAACTCTCATTGACCTCACTGTACATAGAATTAAGTCAAGGTTGGCAACGTATTTAAAAATCACACGTAAAGATTCTGTGGGGATACTAGTGCCACATTACTGAAATATACGTCAGCAAAAGGATGGTTCTAGAGGCATTTTATTTTCCTTTTATTTTTCTGGCTCTTAAAAAATAATCACACTGTGCCTATAGTAATTTATATTGAACATTTTTCAGTAGCAATAATGGAAATTTTCTTTTGGTGTTAATTTAACAGCACCATTATTATTGTAATGAGAGCCAACTGAAAATAATAAACCAAAACAATAACAAATAAAAACCATCTGCTTTAAAATCAGTTTCGTTTTGCTTAATTTTTGTCAAAAACTTACTCCAGCAAACATGAATATCTGATTAGTCAGTTTACTTTATTTTCAATATGTGGACCTTTCCATCCTATTCCCACCTTTCTCTCCATCTCAGTATGCAGTGACATGTACAGTAAAGCTTCAACACAGTTTTGAGAACAAAGGCACCTCTTACAAATATTCAGATAAAAATAGCATTGTAAATATGCAATTATACTTTGTACCATTATACTTTGCTTATTGAAGAAAAATTAGATGTGGAATGCAAGCAAAAAAATAATATGGAACACAAAAATACAGCCAAATATGAAGTAAAATAGACAAAATTTATCTGCCTCAAGCTACAAGCAACAACAATCCAGTACTTAAAGCCTAAATCCTATTTTGCCTAAAGGTGTCTAGGGTGAAGTTAAACATTGAACTTAGACTATACTAATGGAACTTAAAACATCCACATATTAAACTTGTTAACTCTGAGCATCTAAAAGTTACTTCAGGCAAGAGTTAACTCTGGGCCATATTGCCTTGCTCATGGTAAGGTAACTTCAATTTTCTCCACAGAAATAAAACAAGCAATTTGCAGTCATCAAACATCTTGTATATCCTGGCTTCTAGCCACACCTCTGCTTGCTGGCCCTCTAGTGGCAAGTCAGAGCTGCAGTCAAGAAACTTGTATTACCCTTTAAGGTACAGACAGAAGTGACAATTTTCACCTGATCTGGCCACAGAAAGCCATTAATGGAATACGAGATAGATAATGCAGATCAGAGATAAACCTGCCCCGGAGTAGCATAACCTTAAGCCACCTAAAGTGTGTTTAAAACTAATTTCAGGTGCTACTGTGTGGGCAAACCAGGCGTTAAGAGTTCCAGGAACCACCTAAAATTAATGTGTAACACGGCTCTAAGTGTGAGATGTAACTTCACCCTTATTGCTACTTATGCATCTAATCATAGCCAGTAAAGAGGGTTTTTTGTCACAAATTTGAAGAATTTGTATCTTGTTCTACCTATGGGGCTAAAATGTTATCCTTCTGAACATGCTCAGAAGGCACTTATGGCTACCTATGCTCTGACCATCCTATTCCGCCTAGGTAGGTATGTATCTGCATGTATCTGCATGTAAGTCCCATGGTCAGACTAGATAACCCGATAAAAGGATTAGAAGTGGTACATCCTTCCTAGGCTAGAGTTTTGTATTGAGCTACTTGTGTATTCTCTGAATAAGCTTCTAGGAATGCTCTGAACCATATGGAACTAGGAGCTTAAGCAGAATTTAGATATTTCCAAGGTTTAATTTGGATCAAGAATCAGCAATCTATGGCGTGCAGGCCAGATCTGACCCACAGAACCTTTGGAACCAGCCTGTGGCCATGATGCACCAGTGGGATTTAGAGATGGGGGATGCCTTTTGTGGGCACTTTCCCAGCATCACTGAGGGAAAATCTGCCAGCTGCAGGTGCTTGCTCCATGCTGCCTGGGAGACAAGTAGTAGTGAAGGTAAGGTCCTAGTGCATATGCAGTACCTATCTCCAACCTGGAATGGGTTATTACAGCCCACAGCCACAGATTATAAGAGTTTAGATGGAAGTGAGGAGTATAAGTGGCTTGTTTGGATCCTCAGAGCTTTCAAATGCTGCTTAAAATGAGCAGTAGCACAGGTCTAGCTGTCAAGGAATCTTTCCAAGCCAAAATGGAGGCACCTAGCTGGTTTTGCATCTGCTGAGTGTATTTTATGACTCAGAAGCCTAAATTCTCCACAAATCATATTATGGTGCCTTAGAAGTCAATTAGGATCTGAATCAGATCATCTCATTAGAACGGAATAAAAATGATGTGGCTGAAAAACAATCACCCTATTGTGCCTATAAAATGAATATGAATATTTAATTCAAAAATTTACATATATTAGTAACATTTTGTACTCTATTACGGAAATTGTCTAGCCTCTCCTAATATTTTGTGAAATATCACTTTTCCAGTTGTTTTCCATTCTTCTGTTTTTAATGCAGTTATCATCAGCGACTGTCATGTTTTGACTAGGGGGATTGTCTCCTTTCAAATATGAAGTGACATCATCAGATGAAGCCACTGACTTAATCTACATACATGTAAAGTGACATAATGTCCTTTGGTTGGCAGAATGACAGAAACAGAAAGACAGACAGAGTACATGCTGTATTCTAATGCTGCTTGAATGCAGTACTGTGGACATAAACAGTAGATTACTGTTACAAGTAACCCAAGACATTAATTATGCAATTCCTTTGCTGTATACATTAAAAATAGAAAAATGCATTTCTCATAAATAGGGACCTACCTAATTCATGGATGCTGCATCCAGATTTCACAGTCTTTATATGGCATCAGGTGCCATTTTCCTGGTGGAGTGCAGTGGGCCCCCCCCACACCTCTGATTGCCCCAGGGGCCCTGGAAGTCCTGCCCTGTCCTGGAGGACTTCCAGGGCCTCTCTGCCAATCAGAGAAGTGGGGGGAGGGGGCTGCCAGGCTCTAC